CGACTTGGGAGTAAGGCCTGGAGGTGATTGGCCCCTCCCATAAGACATAAAGGAGGAGCAAAGGGACAGGAGCCTTTGCAGGAAGCAACGTTGTTTGCTCTGTTTGGATTAAACCTTGAAGTCTGTGTGGACTTTGTACTTTATTTGGCTTTTTACTGCTAATTTGGCACTTTAGTTATTGACAGCAATTCAAAGGAGATAAAGAGAGAGACTTATCTCGAGAGACTGTTTGGGACTCATTACGGGCTGAGAATGAACATAATTCCCAGCGGTTGAAATAAAAAGAGAGTTGTTTGGACTAAGTTTGTGCTTAATTACAGTCTCAGGAAGCCTTGGTCAGAACAGTCATTTACCCTTTGGTTTCTTTTGCAGGTGACTTCTCAAAATGGTAGATTACCTGGCTAATACCGAGATCAACAGTCAACGGATTGCCGCGGTGGAAAACTGCTTTGGGACCTCCGGCCAGCCCTTAGCTGTGTCAGGAAGGGTCCTTTTGGGCGAAGGGATTTTGACCAAAGAATGCCGTAAGAAAGCCAAGCCCCGAATTTTCTTCCTTTTCAACGACATCCTGGTGTACGGCAGCATTGTCATCAACAAACGGAAATACAGCTGCCAACACATCATCCCCTTGGATGAAGTCACTCTGGAGATTCTGCCAGACACCTTGCAAATGAAGAACCGATGGATGATCAAGACCTCCAAGAAGTCCTTTGTGGTTTCGGCAGCCTCGCTGACCGAGCGCAAAGAGTGGGTCAGTCACCTGGAAGAATGCATTCGACACCTTTTGTCCAAAACGGGACAACAGCCCCCGACGGAATACGCAGCTCCCTGGATTCCGGATAAGGCAACGGATATCTGTATGCGTTGCACCCATACCAAGTTCTCGGCGCTCATCCGAAGACACCACTGTCGAAAGTGTGGCTTCGTGGTGTGCGGAGACTGTTCCCGCCAGCGGTTTCTCATGCCTCGGCTGTCCTCCAAACCATTGAGGGTTTGCAATCTTTGCTACAAGCAGCTGATGGCCCAAAAGAAGGAATCTGGAGACGAAACAAAGCCAGTTCATTCTCCCGTGCCTGGCTATGAAGTTTCTAGCGGAGACGAGAGTGACAGATCTGACGAAGATAAACTGGAACAGTGGCCAGCCGAGACAGAATTTTACACGTCGGATATGAGCTGGTCATCTTTCCACAGTTGATTGCTCCATGGGACTTCTTCTCTTGAAATGGCTGTCGTACTTTTGAAAGCGATGGAGAAGGCTGGACTGGCGAGAGAACTAACTTCATACTCCACTCCATCTGTTTTTTGTTTTAGGGATAACAGAGAAGAACTATCCTCAAAGCCAATTTGTAAACTTTTGACTGGGCCCTCTAAGGTTGAGTCATTCCTCTTGAAGCTCCAAATTGGATTAAAATTATATTGTGTATTTTCAGGAAATGTTGGCCCTCTGTATTTAATTTTGAAGATGGTCAGCATCCATACTCATCAAATGTTGAATTTCCATCTTGGGAAATTCAACAGAACTATATGTAAAAATATCCCTGAGTTGTGTCTCTTGAAGAAACCCAGTTTTTTTATATATATAAATCCAAAACATGAGTTCTGGTGATTCAGAAATCAAAAGAATGATTTCTAGAAGAGCCTTGAAAATTGAGGATACTTTTTATGAAGCACTAAGTGGAAGTTATTTGATGACATTTACAATAGTATTACATTTCAAAAACAGCTGCTTATTTAATTTTTTAAAATCAACTTGAAATCAAAAATTAAAAACTGACATTGCTTTGGATGCTTACTTTAGATTGAATTAAAAAAAAGTTTGGGGAACTGGGTTTAGATATTTGGGGGTCCTTTTCTAGGTTATGTTCATATAAATCATGCTACTGTGGTTTGTTTAATGAGTTTTTCACTTGGGGTGTTATTGAACTTAACCAGTAAACCAAAGCTTAGTGCAATTTAGGAATACAACTAGTGACTTGTTTGCGATAAGCAGAAAATTTTGATAACTAATGATCCATTATCACACAGAGCAGATGTGTTTTAGAACACTAAAAAAAGAAGTCGGATGAACAGAAAACTGATTTGTAGGCAGTATTGATGAGAAAGAGCCAATTATTTTTAATAAGCCTAAATTATGCTTTTAACATATGCTGCTTCCTGATAGAATAGTACCTCTCTTAATAGAGTTGTCATTTCTTTTTTAAAGCATACACTCTATGTGCTATAAATATGGACGTTGGTGTTAAAGAGATTATTATTGTATGAGTTTGCTTGTAAAGAACTTAATTTTGCTGATCAGCACTTTCGTCTTTCCAGATTGCATAGAAATATCAGATGCGGATAGCCAAAGCAAAAAAAAAAAAAAAATAGCTTTGACCATCTAGACTCTAGAACAGGGGTGTCAAATTCATGTCGTCATGTTGGCATCACGTAATGTATCGGCACTTTTTTTCTCCCTTCACCAAACCGAGCATTGGTATGGCCAGTGTGTGACGCATCTGGCCTGCGGGCCAAGAGTTTGACAGTCCTGCTCTAGAGTAGGAATGAGGAGCTATGGCATTTGTATGACCTGTGGACTTCAACTCCCAGAATTCCTGAGTCATCCATGCTCAGGAATCAGATGATTGGATGGATGGATGGATGGATGGATGGATGGATGGATGGATGGATAGGTGATAGATAGATAGATAGATAGATAGATAGATAGATAGATAGAGACAGACAGACAGACAGACAGACAGACAGACAGACAGACAGACAGAAGATGATGGATAGATAGGATAGATATATAGACAAACAGACAGACAGGAATAGAATAGAGTAGAGTAGAGTAGAGTAGAGTAGAGTAGAATAGAATAGAATAGAATAGAATAGAATACTTTATTGGCCAAGTGTGATTGGACACACAAGGAATTTGTCTTGGTGTAAGTACTCTCAGTATACATAAAGAAAAGGTACATTCGTTAAGAATCAGGAATCATAACGTACAACACTTGATGATAGTCATAGGGTACAATCAACAATCAAATCATACTAGGAAACAGTCAATATAAATCGTAAGGATACAAGCAACAAGGTTACAGCCATACAGTCACAGCTGGGAGGAGATGGGTGATAAGGAGTGATGAGAAGATTAACAGTAATAGTAGTGTACACTTTGTAAATAGTTGAACAGTGTTGAGGGAATTATTTGTTTAGCAGAGTGATGGCTTTCAGGAAAAAAACTGTTCTTGTGTCTAGTTGTTCTGGTGTGCAGTACTGGATGATGATGATGATGATGATGGATAGGATACATAGATAAATGCATAGATAGATGCATAGATAGATACATGGATGGATGGACGGACAGACAGATAGATACCGTAGATAGATGATAGATAAGTCCACAGGTAATGAAGGCGAGCAAAAAAGTATATCATTTTTTCATAACTGGTCCTGGGATGATTCAATTCCCTATAGCAGCCTTTCCATCTAGACACCCTTCAAATATCTTGGTCTTCCATCCCATAATTGTCACCCTGCTTTACCCACTGCCTCCTTGAACTGCAGGGAAGTGTTCCCAATCCTAAGACAAGAATCCTAAAGAAAAATGAAAAACAGACCCTCCTTCCTTTTTCTGATGTCGAAATGTTTTTTCCCCAATTCAGTCCATAAAAAAACAATTAAATTTTAATGAGGAACAGAACATCCTGTTCCATTTGCAACAGTATTGGATCCACGACACCAATGAATTCAACAACATTTATGGGTTTTTACTGCTTTACCTCCCACCCAGAACTGAAGAAGATTCTTGGATGAGAAGTGAAACATTTCAAAAAACAAAAAACAAAGTCCATTTGCTTTTTTGGGGGGGGGGGGGGACTACCTTTGGGATCTTACGAGAATGATGGAGGACAAATGCATAAAACTTGGCCCATGTACCCCTTTTGCAAAATCAGGCATTTCCTTATTTAATGCACGATACCATTGTACCTCTTGGAAACCCATTCAAACTGTCTTGTATTTTGCAATGCTGCTGTCATGCCCCTGTCAGAGTCTGAATCCGAGGAGGAATACAAACAGCTGACAGGGAGTGGGAGTGTGGCTCTGTTGGCTGTGGAGGAAACTGGAAGAGCAAAGTCCAGCTGGGCAGAGCAGGGGAGAGGTAGACAAGGGAGAGGGAGTTCAGAGGAAGACCCAGGCCCGTCCCCTCTTCATCCTAGGGCACGCAAGGAGGAACGGAGAAGAGAGCAACGTGGGTTGCATGGCTTACGGGGGAGGAAAGGGCCCCAATTCCCTTCATTAGCAACAGCTGGGAAAAGAGTTTAAAAGAAATGCATGCCGAGTGCGTCAGCTGCTGGGAGCAAACGTGACGTTATCTTGTGTTGCCTTTGCTTATCTGTGTTCTTGGCATCTTCCGTGTTGAGTTATTGCCGTGCCTTCATGTCTGGAATTCTTGGTCCTGCCCTGCTGAACTAATTACCTCATTTTGCCTTGATTGGACTTATAGTTACAGTTTTTGTTGACCACGTTTTGGACTTGATTCTCTGCAGCCAAAGGCTGTTCCTGGGAGTTTTTCTCCAGCCAGAAGATAACCAGGACACTGGGGGCAAAGTTGGAGCTAATAAAGGGACTCCGACTGATTAACTGCGTGGCCTTTGTGCCACGCCCCGAATCATCACAGCTGCTTTTTTATGTGTCACCCTGTGGCAAACCATAGGGGTCAAAAGGCTTGCCACAGGATGGCACGTCCCGTGGCTCTCTTCCTGTGTCAAAGACCAATGCATTGAGGATCCATCCTCTATTCACACTCGATCAAATCATAGAAGAACAGCTGCACAATTAAGATGAGCATCGGCCCAAAAAACAAAACAAAAATGTTCTCCAGTGATCGTTGGGTAGAAAATGTGACTTGTGCAGAAAAAAAAACCAAAATAAAAAAAAAAATCAGAAATCGGCTCTTCAGTTGAAAGGCTGAAGCTACTGATGAAGCGAGGCAGGCGTAGGTACAACTTATCAGTAGTCAGATCAGCTAGCAACACTCCGCACATCACGCTAAGACTGAAAGAACAGCAGCTTCCTTTTGTGTAGTTTTGAGACTCTCTGGGTTTACGCGGTTTGGATGCATTCTGCAAAACCGAAAATGAATTTGTTCAGCAATGGTGTTAAAAGATGTGCAGAAGTGATTTCATGATGGGGGGAAAAGATAACAGGTAACTGACTTTTTTTAAAAAAAAATCTTTTTAAAATTAACGATGGCCCTTAATTTAAGACAGTGTGTTGTGGTCCACCAGCAGCCTGCGGAGACGGCAGCAGACTTGGACAGTGGGGAGGAACACGAGCCAGTCCAGGAGTCTGGAGAGGACTCAGATGAGGGTCCTGCATCTGATGCATAGATGAGGCCAGGACCATCTGGGAGTGGGGTGCTGACTCCAGAGCCTGGCACCAGCGAGGCAGAGGACCCAGGGGAGCCTGTTCCCAGTGCGCGTGTGCTGCTAGAAGAGCTGCTAGAAGACAACAGCAGCTAAGACAAAAGGAGCGACTCGGGAATAAGGCTTGGAGATGATTGCCCCTCCCATAAGGTATAAAGGTGGGTGCTTATCTCGAGGGACTGCTTGGGACTCATTAAGGGCTGGGAATGAATGCAATTCCCAGCACTGAAGTCCCTGCCATAAGGTATAAAGGTGGGTGCTTATCTTGAGGGACTGTTTGGGACTCATTAAGGGTTGGGAATGAACGCAATTCCCAGCATTGAAGTAAAACAAGAGTTGTTTTGAACTAAGCCTGTGTTTAATTCCAGTCTCAGGACACCTTGGTCAGAACAGTTCCTTCACTTAAATTAAGAAACGTTGAGAATGTAATCGCCACAATGGAGCCCAAAGTTTCTGTGCCTGAGGGAATCGTTTGTTAAGCGAGTTTTGTCCCATCTTACAACCTTCCTTGCCACAGCTGTTAAGTGAATCTGGCTTCCCCCATTGACTATGCTTGTCAGAAGGTCGCAGAAGTTGATTCCATGACCCTGGGACACTGCAGCCATCAAAAATAGGAGCCAGTTGCTAAGCACCTGAGTTTTGATCACGTGACCAGGGGGATGCTGCAATGGTCATTAAGTGAAAATGGTCATGTCACTTTTACAGCGCCTTTTTAACCTTTGAATGGTCACTAAATGAACTACTGTAAGTTGAGGACTACCCGTAATTTCATTTGTTTAAAGAAAAACCCAAACTGTAAAGCCTGAATGTTGGACTTTTAATATTCTTTGTTACTCCCAGATCTTTCTTCGTTGTCTACTCCTATTGAAAGTTCTCAACTGAAGACAACTTGAGTTCAGGAAACTCACTTTAGCACCTCTGAAGGAAGGGGAATGACGGTCACACAACCTTGGCATGTTCACACATTAAAAATTCAGCTTTATTTGCATTTTATCTTCAGGAGGAATACCTAAGATGAATCATCTGCTACATTTTTGGCTCCGGACTATTTCAACTTTTCACTCCTTCACTCTCTCAAAATTAAGGCAGCAAGAGAAGTAACATGTCCTGTGGAGAAGTGAAGCTCCCCATCTAAGAAATTCCAAGTAATTTGACGTTGATCATTCTAATGTGGCCAAGTGGACACCACGTACCTCAACCACAGTGCCGTTATCTACATTAGGTTTCTCCAACTTGGCATCCTGAAGATACGTTAACCATCAGCCTGTCTCTCTCTCTCCAGCCAAAGAATATATTTGGGTAGGATAATTGGTCATAAATCCAACCATTGTAACTGGGCAGGAAAGGCTGGCACCTGTGCAGTGTATCATCCTTATCCATCTAGAATGATGCACATCAAAGAGCAGCAAATGGTGATGTCATTATAGTGCAAATGTCAATGTTACATCCTTGACCACAATGCAAGGACGCAATGGTGGCACGTTCTTTGATAGCATCATTCACAGAGGCAGCTGCTTAGAAGGTCTGATGAAACAGAGGTACTTACTCAGCAAGGCATTCCAAATGCCACAAGGAATTTTTGGGGTGGCATAAATAGATTTTCAAATAAATACAATAAACATTGAGGCTCAAATTGATCCACCCTTGGCTATTGAAATAGGAACTAATTATGAAAAAGAAAAAAACCAGAACGAGCAAACCAAAGCTTGCCTTGTTTGTTTCCCCCAAAAAGATTATTTGGGGTAAAAGAAAAAAAATGCACAGTTGACACCTTGTCATTCCTTATAAAAACTGTGATCTTGAGAAATCTAAAACACCAGAGAAAAGGGTATTAAGGGCACTCACAACCCCCTGAAACACAAACATCAGAGTCTACTTTCCATACTGGATCTCCCCTCTGAGTTCAGTAGTGATATAGTTTGTCAGGACTCCAAGCAATTTCTCCTGAAGGGCACCGTTGGCCATGACCAAGGCTGTGAGCTGGGCTACGTCGGTCCAGTCCAGATTCTGAATAATGGCGCAGACGTTTTCGTAAAGCCGCTGCTGCTCCGCAGGTGGCAGTTCCAGGATAATCTGAGGAATGGGCTTGAACTGTCCGGAGGTCATCCAGGCCCCAAGCAAGCCACCAATGGCACCTCCTAGAAAAACAGAACAGGTGAGCCAGCTTTCAACTTTGACTGGCAAGCCATCACTGAATGATAGAATCACTTGACCATTTTGTAAAGGTGAGCGGTGTTGCTTTGGATGCAGGTGAGGGATCTGTGCTATTTGTAAGATGCACTGTCCTATTATGTGGTGATTTATAGATATGTAAGAGCCGTGGTGGCACAGTGGTTAGAGTGCAGTACTGCAGGCTGCTTCTGCTGACTGCTGGTTGCCTGCAATTTGACAGATCGAATCCCACCAGACTCAAGGTTGACTCTCATCCTTCCAAGGTGGGTAAAATGAGGACCCAGATTGTTGGGGCAAGAGGCTGACTCTATAAACTGCTTAGATAAGGCTGTAAAGCACTGTGAAGCAGTATATAATAAGTCCTTCCTTCCTTCCTTCCTTCCTTCCTCCCTCCTTCCCTCCCTTCCTTCCTTCCTTCCTTGGTGGCACAATCCTTAGAATACAATATTGCAGGCTGATTCTGCCCACTTTCTGGAGTTTAATTCTCACCGGTTCAAGATTGACTCAGCCTTCCATCTTTCAGAGGTGGGTAAAACGAGGAGCCAGATTGTTGGGGGCAAGAGGCTGACTCAGTAAAAACCACTTAGAGAGGGCTGTAAAGCACTGTGAAGCGATATATAAGTCTAAGTGCTATCGCTATTTAGAACGGCGTTCAATGCAGTTTTCACGACTGTAGCAACTTGGAATTTGTGGGCTTCAACTCCCAGGATTCTCCAGCCAGCTTGATTGCCAAGATGGAGAAATCCTTATTTAGTATATTAATGAATATATCTTGTCTACTTTTTACACACAAAGTATACTTCCAATAGCGAGTTTCATCTGTACCATTTTATACCCTTTGAATTCCCACCTGTTCTATATTTTACGCCATCTATATCATGCATATAAATATTTATATGATTGTTTTACATTTTTACAATGACTGTGCCCCATCGCTTTATAATCTTAAAGAAAGATTGGTTTGACTCTGGAAAGGGAGTTCAATTTAAACTGAATATAAATATAAATGTAAATGTAATTAACCCATGGCTCCTCCCCCATCTTTAGTATCTTCAGAGCTGCGGTTGCGCAGTGGTTAGAGTGCAGTACTGCAGGCGCCTTCTGCTGACTGCCGGCTGCCTGCAATCTGGCAGTTCGAATCCCACCAGGCTCAAGGTTGACTCAGCCTTCCATCCTTCAGGTTGCTAAAATGAGGATCAAGATTGTTGGGGGCAAGAGGCTGACTCTGTAAAACCGCTTAGAGAGGGCTGTAAAACACTGTGAAGCGATATATAAGTCTAAGTGCTATTGCTGGCAAACTCTGCCCACTGCCAGCAGTTCAATTCTCATTGGCTCAAGGTTGAGTCTACCTTCCAGCCTTCTGAGGTGGGTAAAATGAGGACCCAGATTGTTGGGGGCAATGTGCTGACTCTGTAAACTGCTTAGAGAGGGCTGTAAAAGCACTGTAAAGCGGTATATAAGTCTAAGTTGTTTTTGCTATTGCTGTCTCCCCCTCCCCACCTCACATTAAGAGCTACCGTTTGGTGGATCCAAAGCACTTGGAGGCACTTATGCACATATCCAAAGCATTAATTTACCGACAGCAATGCCAGGTGGGCCTGCCATCAAACCTCCGAAGAAAGCCGTTGTTCCCACCACCAAGGCGCCTCGTCCGGAGTGCTTGAAGGCAGCTTTCATTTTTCGCTCTTCAGAAATATGGCAGAGGAGCTGCATCACATCTCTCATGTTGACAGGCATGGTGACTTCTTTGGACCTGAAACAGTTGTAAAAAGAACTCTCCATCTCTCTATTTTTCTCTCTCTTCTTCTTCTTCACAGGTAGAGCTTAGAGCTGCTTGATTATATTTGTAGGTGTACATAATCATTTATTCATTCACACACACACACACACAGAGACACTTAATAATCACTAAATAACCCCATTAGCTGCAGTGGCACATTGGTTAGAGTGCAGTTCTGCAAACTACTTCTGCTGACTGCCTGCTGCCTGCAATTTGGCAGTTCGATTCTCACCAGGCTCCAGGTTGACTCAGCCTTCCGTCCTTCCGAGGTGGGTAAAATGAGGACCCAGATTGTTGGGGGCAAGAGAATGGCTCTGGAAAACCACTTAGAGAGGGCTGTAAAGCACCGTGAAGCAGTATATAAGTCTAAGGGCTATGGCTATTACCTGTTGGGTCATCCTTTCAGAGATATTTCATTGCCTATTTCAAGGGTCTTCCAACTTGGCAAGTTTAAGACTTGGGGACTTCAACTCCCAGAATTCCTCCTCCAGTCATGTTAGCTCAAGGAATTCTGGGAGTTGAAGTCCACAAGTCTTAAACTTGCCAAGTTGGAAGACCCTTGGCCTATTCAGAGAAACAGAATAATCAAGGGCAAAAGGAGAAGGGAAGTGACTTCTGGCTTCCTGCTGGCTTTTTTTCCACTGACTTTCTTAATAGGAAGCTTGGGAGGGAACATTGGAAATGAAAATCGCCGGACTGTGGCTCACTACAAGCAAGGCTGCAACATTGAAGCAACTTTGCCAGACTTCAATCCCATAGGAGTTAAATCCAGATTTTGGAAACATTCTGTAAACTTAAAACTATTTAAGGCATGTTGACTCAAAAATTGTTGCCCTGTGATACACTATTTCACCCAATTGAAGGTTATAAACAAACAGACACAATACTTTTAACTGTATTTAAATGTTATCTATGATCTGTGTAGTGCTTGAATACCAGAATAATACATATCTAAACAGTAAAATGTGTCTCTCCTTCCTTCTTTCCTTCTCTCCCTCCCTCCCTCCTTCCTTCCTTCCCTCCTTCCTCCCTTCCCTCCTCCCTTCCCCCCTCCTCCCTTTCTTCCTTCCCCCCTCCTCCCTTCCTTCCTTCCCTCCCTCCTTCCCTCCTCCCTTCCTTCCCTCCCTCCCTCCTCCCTTTCTTCCTTCCCCCTCCTCCCTTTCTTCCTTCCCTCCTTCCTTCCCCCCTCCTCCCTTTCTTCCTCCCTTCCCTCCTCCCTTCCTCCCTCC